ATTTGATATATGAGCTTGAGGCCCCATCCTCTCAAACTAGCTACATGTACCTCTACATGAAAAATGTACCTGCTAGACTTTAGGGTCATGCCTCAGAGCGGATACTATAATTTTATGTAAATGTTGATTAGCGGCCCATTGGGAGAGGAGAAAAGGGGGGTCGGGGTTCAACCTCAGTCACGGCATCCTGTCTGGCCAGGCAGAGATATTGTGTTATCATTATCAATTATTTGGCAATCTCCTAAAGGTGCCTGGAAGGGGAAGGGGAAGAGTGAGGTTTATCACTAGAGCCTTGAGTAGTGGCGAGTATGGGTCGAGGCGTGGAGGGAGTGGGGGGAGGGGGGTCTTTGGAGTCATTGGAGGACACTGGTCTTACAAGATTCATGAAATGTGAATTTACCCGTTGACTACTGAATTTCCATATTGCCCATAGGTTTAATACAGGAACGACCCGGTTACAGCAGGCAATAGGTTAATTAACAATGATATCCATTAGGGAGGAAGGAGTTGGTGGGGCCCCTTTCCCCCCTTTCCTTCTTTTCTCTTTCTCTATGACTGCTATTCAGTTGTGGGGCATGTGCCCCCTTTGCCCTTCCTGAAGCTATATCATCGGCCTTGAGTCTCCTCATCCTTGGAAGTTAGGCTTTGCAGGTGAACCATACAGCTAGGGTATTCACCCTGATCTTCACAAGAGGTCGTAAGTGTTCTGTAATGACAAGATCCTAAGGTGTACCTTCAAATAAGTGTTTCATAGACTCTTTATGAGAGTCTTTGTCATTGGATTGGTTCTATAAAAATGCATAGTGTCCTGTAACCATAAGATTAGAATTTGTAGGCCTACTGTTACACATACTGTAGTAGGGCGTTCCGCTTTCTCTTGCAAAGTGGTACATCCCGCCTTCTGTAACAATAAGTTCAAGACTTGCAGGTCTACTGTTACAAAGGTTTTTCACCATAGACCTAATCGTGACAGGAAATAATGTTCTGGAATAAACAAAGCATGAGGTAGTGTAAGCAGGGGCGGATTCAGGGGGCGTGGGGGCGCATGCCCCCCCCCCCTTTCCTTCCGAAAAAAGATAAGAAATTTTCGTGAAAATATTCAGTATACACATTCAGAAATGCCTCAGAATGGACAATAGAACATTTTAAGGTTCCAAATTTTATATAGCTGACAAGAGAGGAATCTTCAACTATAGCTTTTCGATAGCACAATGTGTGAACCATGCACGCCTTGTATGGTTACATTGTACACCGGAAGTATGTAAGTCCCAGCATAGGTGCTCACAAATACATTGAAGAGTCGTACGTCCGGGCATTTGGGGTTATTGGCAAGAATTTCATTTAGCCATTCAATCAAGTACAGATAAGACTATGATGACTCAATATTAAATGATGCTTAGAGGTTCTTGCCATGCCAGACAGCATGTTCTTATCATTCACTCAGTATTTGACAACTCATGAGGGCTAAAAGGTGAAGGTTAAATAATAATAGTCATGGCCCGCATCCCTTTTATACTTTCCTTTTTTTGCCTTCTAATTAGCATCAGCTTCCTTGCCTTGCTTTAGCTCTTTTTTTATTTCCCTACAATCTTTTTTTTTGTTTTTCCTAGTCTTGCTTTTAACAGACCTGCCAACCTCTGGAGTTCAAAAACTGTATTCTTTTGTGTCAAAAGTTGTATTTTACTGACAAAAGTTGTATTCTTGAAAATAAACACGGATTGTTACGCGGATCAATGCCTCTTACAGTTTCTACCTACAGGAAGAATTTTTTCTATTGATCATTGGTTGAATATGCATTATTTCGTCACGACTGGTGTGTTCGATGAACCAATAAACATCCCCAAATTGCTGATGTGAGATGCTTGTAGGATACTTTACAGGACAGAATGGACATTTTTTGAAAATCGTATTTTATTAAGGAAAATCGTACTGTCGTATTTGCTTCTAAATATCGTACTAAATACGACTAAATCGTACTGGTTGGCAGGTCTGTTTTAGGTTGCTCATCAACTCTGTCTGTCTCTCTCTCTCACTCATACACACTCTCTCTCACTCTCTCTCTCTCTCTCTCACACTCTCTCTCTCTCTCTCTCGTTATCTTTCTCTTCATCTATCTATCTATATAACTATCTCTCTGTCTGTCTGTCTGTATCTCTCTCTCTCTCTCTCTCTCTCTCTCTCTCTCTATCATCCCCTCTTCTCTTCATTTTACTTTATTCCCCCCTTCTCTCTCTACCTTTTATCTCTCTCTCTCTCTCTCTCTATCTCTCTCTGTAACATTTAACAAAAATATTATTTTACATTTTTTCTAGGATTTATCAATGCATATCTGTGTCTTTTTTTAAAACTTTCTCTCTATCTCAAAGGTGTTGTTTGGTTGTTAGTCTTTAATTCAAGGAGTTATGTATCTCCTTGGTCTTACATTTAGTTTCTACTTCTTTTTCATTCTTTTTATCTCTTTCTCACATCATATTTAGGAATAAAAAGAAGACGTCCAGCTGGCTCCTTTAAAATTTCTGCTTCCTTTCTCAGCATTCTGGTTGACATTGCTTATGAATCATACATGTAACATGAATGTACTTTCATATCATGAAATGAAATGGAATGGGAAGCATAGAAGGGATGAACCTGAATGAGAGAAAGAAGCACAGTACAGGACAGGATGAGGGTGTGTGCAAGTGAAATTGAAGAGGCACATAGGCATACAAGCACAGGAAGAAGTATAAGACAGAGATAGAGAGACAGAGGGAGGGAGGGACAGGAAAAGAAAAAGGGTGTGTGCAAGTGTGATGGACAAGGCACAGAGACACAGAGAGACACAAAAGTACAGGGAGAGAGAGACAGAGATAAAGAGGGAAAGACAGGAAGAGGGTGTGTGCATGGACCTACTACTAGGTCCATGTTGTGTGCAAGTGAGATGCAAGAGGCACAGAGACACAAAAAAGTACAGGGAGAAGTATAAGACAGAGATAGAGAGGGAAAGACAGGAAGAGGGCGTGTGCAGATGAAATTGAAGAGGCATAGAGACACATAAAAGTACAGCAGGGATGAATAAGACAGAGATACTAGAGAGGGAAAGACAGGAAGAGGGTGTGTGCATGGTCCTACTAGGTCCATGGTGTGATGTGCAAGTGAGATGGAAGAGGCACAGAGACACATAGAGAAACAAAAGTACGGGAAGAGAGTTACAGAACCATGTTACTCCCAATGTAAAAGGGGTATTACATACTGCAGCATGCCTACATCTTCATCTTCTCCTTTCATCGCTCTCTTTCACATATACATGTATATCTTGTCTTTCAGGTAGCCAAGGCGAATGAAACGTGCAGGAAACGATCTTCCCAATGTTTGTAAGTTTCTTTAGAAGCATCTTGTACCTTCTACTGTATATGTATTTCACACCAACGGTAGAGAATCATCTCCAATTGGCTGAACTGTAAATTGTGCACTTTCCAATTGCTAGGAAATGTAGATTTTAAACACATGCAAGATGAGAAACAGTAAGTGTCTTGACCATGAAAGGGCTGAGGAGGGAGGAGGGGGAAGGGGGAGGGCAGATTATGCCCCCAGTGGCTTTTTACTAGAGATCAATGTGACACTAAAAGCATGCTGAAAGTTGTTGAACCAGCTAGCTGCTAGCATAATTTTTTAGGCAGTTACATGTGTGGACCATTTTAACAAATTCAGGAGACAATCTATTTTGTTCAAGAAAGTGGGTAATTTGGCTCAACTGGTCTTCTTGGAGTGATTAATTATTGCTTATGTGGCCCAAACATGTCAAGCAATATATGCAGCTCTTTGTAACTGCAAGAAAAAGGTGCTATATCACAAACATTTGAACTCGATTAGATTGGATTGGATTGGATTGTACACCCCCCTAAAAAGTCAACATCAACACCGACAACACTACTACGTTCTGTCACAGTATTTTCTCTTATTTTGTTAACGGAACATGTATCACATCTTTCTTTGCCCGGGATATCTATTTTGGGCCTAAGGTCATTTTCAAAGATCTTATCACTTCATGTGGGAGAAGAAAGATGTGTTACTAATGCTCTGATATTAGGCCTTCCTCTCTCATACTATATCAGTACTTCAAACTGTTGACCCAATTACTAAAACAGGGCGGTAAAACTTCCAATTCTCTCATTTCTGACAAGTTTCTAAATTATTGGTAGGAAAAAGAGAAGATACAAGGATACAGGGCTTGATACAATTAGAAAGAATAGAATCCTGGTGTTGTATTGCCCTTATCAGGTCATTCTAAGATAGCCTTTAAATGGAACAGGATATGGTACATGAGAGAAGAGGAAGATGCAGGGGTAGAATGAGAGAAAGAGGGAGTGGTAAAGGGTATAATAATAATGATGATAAGGATATGAATTTATAACATGCACATATCCTTAACTTTCGAGCAAGGCGAGAAAATAATAAATATGCAAGTAACATTAAAAAATAGCTCAACAGATAATCTACAGGTAGTGAGAGTCAAATTTTTGAGTAACATATATGTTTTCAGCTGTGTTTTGAAGCAAGGAAGAGGGATGAAAGTCAAACAAAGAAAATAAAGAGAAAAGGACAAACATACAGGCAGAGGGGGGAGGCAACCAACATGATCCATAGAGAGCCAGATGGCTATATTAAGTCATATAATTTGACGAGCATCAATGCCTTTCTGCCTCTCTCAGCAAACCATCTAACATCCATCATACCAAAGACAGAGGTGTTGAGGTGTCGTTTACAATAGAAGTAGACAAGTCGATAGAGTCACAGGACTGTGATTCACAAGGAACAGGGTTCTAAATCCCTGCTACAGCACCAACGTCCTTGGCAAAAAATTCATCTAGAATTACATTTATCACACTTATCACACTTGACAAGGGTTGCTGGAGCTACATGTAAACATTAATTTCCAAAGTACTTGAAAAGCACACATGCGCTATAAATAAGTAAATATCATATTCATTATGATTATATTTTGTATCAACCAAACTCCATACCTCATCTCCCGTGTGATTCCCTATGTTCTTGACAGTCACTTTCACCGTCACATTCTGGCAAGGCTGAATGGCGGCAGGCGACACCATCAGGTCCGAGTAGTTGAAAGTCGTGTAGGAAAGACCATAGCCAAACGAAAGCATTGGGTCGCCATGGAAATAGCGGTAGGTCCGCCCATCCATGGAATAGTTCTCCATTGGAGGGATCTGAAAGTTGAGGGCAGTGTTCTGTTTTAGAAGTATGTCTGGCCCCTATTTTTGTCATTTACACTGTACATGTGGGTGAATAATGATAGCTATGGGCTTTATTTTGCCGAATATAGAGGGTTAGGGTTGCAATTGGGTCTAGATTAGATTTAGGATAAGGATTAAGATTTGGTATAAAGGGTTATGAAATTGTTTTTGCTGAAGCGGACAGCCCAGAAAATGTTGTATAATAGATGAGAATTGCTCTGGAGAGAAATTAAAAATCTTATCTAAAAACAATGGAATACTTTTGGATATACATGAACATGTATTTCTTACAAGATTTCGAATTACAATTTTAAAAGTTAATTAAACCTTAAACAAAGCTGGCCTGAAAGGACACATAAATTCACTGTGTAGTGTGTACAAAAAAGTAGGATGTCCAAAGGATATATGAACATTAGATACTACTTTGCCTTGCTACTGAGGCATTTGCCTTTATTGTCCTTGAATTTGAATAGCTATCTTTCATTTCACATTATAACTGTAATTCTAACTAGTTACACCATATCTGGGGAGTGTATCACAAAGATCCTAAGTAGAACTGAACTCTAAGTTGGATTTAAACATATATGGAGAGCCATTTGCAGGCTTAAAATGAAATATATTCAAAAGCAAAAATTCAAGTATTTTAGACTTGTCATCAATTCCACATCAAGAACATGAAATCTCCTTGATAATAGAAAATATGAATGATTTGAATTTTATGCCTTTTAAAATAACTTTTACTAAATATTTTCATTAATGCTATAAACAGCTTTTCATAATTGGTAAGTCAAACTTATTGATTACCGAAAATATCAAGTTACATTGTATTTCAGCATGAAAATAATTATACATTTTGTAAATGGAGCAAACAAATAGTAAGAGCTAGTCAAGGTTGGCCCCATTCAATAATATTATCTAAAATAAATCTATCATTTATCATATAAATCCTCCCATTTTTTTCTGTCACTGTCTTGTATACTGACCTGGGCCACTGTTGCAGGCCAAGTTGAAGGAAGCCTGCCCCCAGGGTTGGCCCCAGGTGCATTCTGGAACATCATCCGCAGAGCCACGCCCGTTGCCTGGGCCGGGAAGAAGCACTCTACGATAGCTTGGACCGAGGGGCTGGACAGGGCCCAGGTGATGTTGAGAGGACCAGCGTTGAAAAGGAGGAGGATGACCGGTTTACCAGCAGCTGGTATTAGGATAAGTGCAAAAAGAGTCTGATATATGACTGATATATCTGGAAGGGCAGGAGATCCAGGTTAGATGTAGGAATGAATATGGCCGAGGTGACGTTAAGACAATTAGCGTTTTAACCGCTTGACTACTGAATATTCTAATCCCCATAGGCTTAATACAGGGAAAACCCAGATCCGGTAGGCTACGGGTTAAAACTATCCTGACTTCAAGTTCTTCTTAGTTCAACATTAATATTTGAGTGAGATTATTTTGCCCTCCACCAAGATGTATAATATTCATTTCATGCAAAGAGGAGACTAAGATAATTCAATATTACATGTGTGAGAGCATATAACTTGAAACAGGCACATCTGTCACTCTCTAATAGATTGAGAAGTTGTGTGTAGTAAATCATACGTGGAAGACTATTAATGTACACCATCTTCATCTTACCATAGCGGACAGCATCTTGAAGAAGTTGTTCTTGTTTGCCTGGCAACAACATGTCGCGTCTGTCATTTCCTTCACTCTCAAGTTCAATACCTTGAAAGAGAGAAGGAGAGAGAGAAAGCAAGAGGAGGGGAGAGAGAGGGGGTGGAGAGAGAGAGAGAGAGAGAGAATGAGACAGAGAATGAGAGAGAAAGCCAAAAGTGAGAAAGTTATTAGTTTAGCCTTACGTATACTCTAATCTGTACAGAAAGACTGTTACCTAAATTATGGTTCTCGCAAATTGTCATTAAAATTGAAAAGGTAACAAAATATGTATGACTGAATCGAAGATTAAATGTGGTTCAAGTTTAGAAACACTAAAACAAGACTTTTTAAATGATCCAGAAAAAAGTACATTAGATTAAATTCTTTCAAATAATCTTTCTCCTGATACAAAATGGATTGGGTGTATATATTTGAGACATTGTTGTCATAATCATCATCATTATCACCAACAACAACAACAACATCACCATCATCATCATCATCAATCCAGAAGATTCACAGGTTCCTACGGGCACACAACATCTGACCCTGTCACAGCATTTAAGGCACTGCTGGTCATAGGTACATTATCATAGAATTATTATCATCATCATCATCATCATCATCATCACCATTGTTACCATGATCATCATCACTATCATCAACACCACCACCACCACCACCACCATCATCATCATCATCATTATCATCAACCCTGAAGATTCACCTGTTCCCAGGCACACGACCACCACATCTGCCCCTGTCACAGCGTTTAGAACTCCTTGCTGGTCATAGGTTACACACTTGGGGGACGGGCATCCGGAGGCGTGTCTGGTCTTGGTTGCCATGGGTGACAACCCCTCGAGGACAGTGGTCACGAAACGAGGGTCAGGATTAGGGGCGTAGTCCCCAAAGAGGAGCTCAGAATTGTTGGCAAATGGTCCTACTACCTGAGAGAGAAAGAGGAAGAAAGATAGAGAGGATGAGAAACATAGGGAGTCAGAGGGAGAGAGAGGGAGAGAGAGAGAGAGGGGGAGAAGGAGACATCAATGCATACATCAATTTTCAACTCAAAAACTGAATTGAAAGTAGAAATAATCAAGACACCGCAATCTTGAATTTAGGAAAAATGAATTATCACTCAATGAAGGAAATACTGAATGTTCAAGACTACAGACAGATAATATTTACCAAAACATTGTAGAGGAAATTTGAAGAAAACAAGGGTAAATATTATCAGAGGATAAAGCTAGCAGTCACATAATATGTATACAACATAGTCTCTATGTACATTGATTGTGCTTTTATTGATTGTAAACCTGTATGTATCTTTTACATGGACCAATTTAATCCAGTTTCCATTGATTGGATTCAATTACCAGGACTCAAGATTAGCTCCAAGCCTATGAAATATATCAATACAACTCACTGCAAGAGTCTGTATAGTGCCCTCTATTGGTAGAGTGCTCCCTTCATTCTTGACAAGCACAAAACTCTTGAGGGCAGCCTTCAGTGCAATTGCCTGGTGTTCGGGTGACTCCACCACCTGGTCTACGTTGAGTTTGACGTAGGGGTTGAGGTCAGGGGGTCGAACTCGCCGAGACGGAGACGGGTGTAGAAGAGGGGGGCTATGCTGTCACGCAAGTCTTGGGCAGTCAGCATTCCAAGCTCAACCTGAGTTTATGTAAAAAAGCATTGCATTGAAAGTAACAGATGAAAGAATGAATGAAGGGAGATGTGAGCAGGGGGGTGTTTCACAAATATCCAAAGACTTTACAATTATGGAAAGCCGTTAGCATCTTTGAAAATATTTTGTAAAAGTTATCTTAAAAGGCATAAAATTGTTGATTCAAATCATTCATATTTTCTATTATCATGGGAGATTTCATGTTCTTGATGTGGAATTTATGAAAAGTCTAAAATACTTGAATTTTGCTTTTGAATATATTTCAAAATAAGGCTACAAATGGCTCTCCATAATATTTAAGTCCAACTTAGAGTTAAGTTCGACTTGGGATCTTTGTGAAACACCCCCAGGTCTAGCAGTAGTGTTCATGGTATGATCAGCTCTTTGTCTTTGCCTACCAAATAACTCTGATCAGACCCAGGTTTAAAAACTCGAACGAATGATGACATTAAAGGGCGCCCAAGGTGTAAATAATCATGTCTGATTGATACAGGTCTTTTAAAACCCAATGAGACACACACACAGCTTCACTTCTGTCTCTCTCAAAGCTTGTGGCACCTTGCTTCCAAGCTCCCCTCCAGATGCTCCTATTCCTGGCGATGCACTCCTAGTCTTCTTAAAGCCTATCTGCACTAGTTTGTCCAGGAGGGATTAGACCTCCCAGCGTGGTCACTGATAGGTGGCTATCTCATCAATTCAGCTCTCAATGAACATAAGAAAGAGAGGATCATGGGGGACCAACAGGCACAGATTGGGAAATTTTTTATATAGAGGGAGCAAGTAGCTACAAGTAGTACAGTTGGGCTTTAAAGGATACTTGCTTACTTGCTTACATGTAGGTGATGCTTCATACAGTCCACGAAGCAGTTTCTTGGTTCTTCTCTATTGCCATAGGTACAACAACAATTTTAGAATAAAACACTGCAAAATCACTCATCACAACAGCGTTAAACATGGATAACAACACTACATCTCACCGCTTCCGCAAGATAATCATATACTGCAGGCTTCGTCACTCCCAAATCAAGATTGCATCCCGCCTTGAGGCTCTTGATGGCTGTATCGAGATACGACGTGGTGTAGTTGTGTGCTAGTTCCTCCAGCTCTAGCGCCCTCTGGTCACTGACCACGTAACCTTTGAACCCCCACTCAGTCCGCAAGACATCGTTCAGGAGGTAGGAGTTAGCACAGGCAGGGATACCATTTACGCTGGTCGAGAATGAGAGGAAGTAAAGTCATTTTGTCTTCTAAAAGCGGAATCTTATTTGTGCTCATGTGAGGGAATCTTAATCACCTGAATTTAATTTTTCTCCATTTCATTTAACGTCATATTATCTATTACCATTATTTTGATGCAATGAAGGGTGCTTGAAGCTTTTATATATATATATATCCGGTGCAGATTTAGTGGCATACAGAGGAGACATCTTTTATGAAAGAGAATCAAGGGCAGGTAGTTAGTTCCATACTAGGATTAAGTCAACATTGACATAGCATTTGCCCGTAGCTTGGCTTGTGAAAATGGCTTTAGAGTTTAGACTCACATGTATTGTGATCAACTTTAGTTTTGACCATTTTAATCTAACTTTGGCCAAAATAACTCAATCTGTAGAACATAATAGAGCCAATACAAAACATAAACATGCATCAGGCTATGGAACCCTGATGTCTGGTTTCAAAATAATTGGTAAAAAGTCATCAAAATGTAAATTGTTAATACATTGTATATCTGACTTGAGTACATTAAAGGGGGTGTAAACTGACAAATACTGGGGAATACCATCCACGTCTCCTTTTGGACAACTGCACATAAACGAATGAACTTAATTAATGGTAGTCAGCAACTTAATCTCTACATGGCCAGCATTCGCAAAACAGACTGAAGTTCTCCTCACGCTTCGGTTTCGCGTATGTTGCACGCACGTGATTGCTGCGGTCTCGTCTGTAGTGGTATTACACCCTATTGGCCCCCGAGTCAGGCCACGGGAAAGACACATAGTCTCGGCAGTTTACTCCCTCTTTAAAATAAACCATAAATGCTAATACCCAGATGAAAAGTTTATTCACCCAGATCTGTGGACAAATATATCTCAAATGGCAGATGGTCATATCTGATAATTGAGCAAGAAAGAGATAAAGAGAGAGCAAGAACGTGATACAAAAAGGTTTCTGACCTGTTATAACTGCACATGACACTGTAGGTTCCTGCCTTGATGCACTCTTTGAATGCTGGGAAGAACGTCACCTGCAAGTCCTTATCTGACACCTAGCAAAAATTAAAACAAACATAATGTTAATTTCATGTCTGATAAAATATGACAGCTGACAGTTTTGGAAAAATTGCAAACTAAATGTGAACTAAGACATGTGTGGTGAAATAAGGGTGACAAGATGCAACATATTAGTGGAAATTTGTTGGCTTATGAAATGACTTACAGTGACTTTCAACTATTTCCATTGATCTGTTGAGGGGATTTCTATCAAATTGAACACATTATTTATTAGTAGAAGTATAGCAGCAGCAAGCAGCAGTAGAAGTAGTTCATTTTTTTGTTGTTATTGTTGTTATTATTATTATTATTATTGTCATCATCATCATCATCATCATCATCATCATCATCATCATCAATATCAATATCATCATCATCATCATCATCATCATCATCATCATCACCACCACCACCACCACCACCACCACCACCACCACCACCACCACCACCACCACCACCACCACCACCACCACCACCACCACCACCACCATCAGCAGCATCATCATCATCAGCAGCATCATAATCATTATCATTACCATCATTATTTTCTCTCAAAAATACGAAAAATCATAGCATGAATATGACAAAATACAATATTTGTCATCAAAATGTGTCTCTGAGCTTCCATTGCATTTTGCCACTCTTCTTTTCTTTTTTCTTTTTTTCTTTTTCTTTGCATCCTACCTTAGCATCAAACGAGAACCTGGATGAGGGGTAGTTTTCAGGTCCACTATAAGCAGCAAAATGCTTGCATCCGGCATTGGTTAGAAGGTATCTAGGATGATTGCCCTGGAGTCCCCATACAAAGCTCTTAGCAAGCTCTCCGGTCAGGTACGGGTCCTCACCATAGGTCTCCTGTTAAACACAATGGAAAGATTGAAGTAGGTTTAAAGGTCCCAATCAGCAATTTGACAAGGTTGTGACAGTCATTTATCATTTAATCATTCAAAACTTCATTTTAAAATGTCAGAACAAAGCTCACTGACGTTTTTCAGGGGAAGCAAATGTTGTGATCCAATAAGAACAAAGAAAATGTAAAATTCATATTAAATTGGTATCATAGCAACAGGAGTAAATTCAGAGAATTCGATTTTAATCAATTATAAGAACCGATGTAATCTTGCTTCTCATTTTTTGCTTCCTAAAGTCTTTTACACTGATGTTGCAGACATTATTTGAATTCAAAACTTAAAGCTTGAATTCTGAACCAAACAACATACATGTAAAACATTTTTTTAATACAAAAAATGGTAGCCATATATTAGTATTACTACTGCTATTTCTGAAGGCCCTTCAATTATTACCCCAGTAAAAGTCAAGTACCCATTTACAACTTGGTGGACAGTGGCAAATGTGAATTGGTGTCTTGCCAACCGGCATTAGTGCCATGGTGGGATTCAAACCCTCAACCTTTGGATTGAGAGTCAATTGAATGAATCACTATACCAAAACACCTCCACAAGCAGCACCTACATGGATGCATTCATTCATTCATTCATTCATTCATTCATTGGGACCATTGTCTACAAGATGTACCCCTGGGGTCTGGGCCTCTAGTAATTTTGTTTTCTGAACCCCCCCCCCCCCCCCCCCCCCCCCCCCCATGCTTGCAGGTACTGGTACCAAGGTTATTCGGCACTGGCTAGACACCTAGGAGCCGTTTCTCCACACCGACATAAGTCTAACTTTTTTTTAGACATCCCATTTAGATAGATAGATAGATAGATAGATAAATGGTTTATTCAAATCAAATCAAACATGTAAACAATAAATGTTCATTAATTCCATGCTTCGTAGCTAAAAACTAAATTGCGCAATGGATTACAGAATTAATTATTACAAGGTAAAATTGCACTTACTAATAATAAACTACTATAGATATTAAAGACATGATGAGAATTAATACGCCTTTCTGTGGAATGTCCATGAACTTAAACTTATAACGGTTTTGATAAACTGACCCCTATAGAGCCAGTTTCTTAAAACCATCATTAGTCAAAGTTTGTGGACATCCCATAGAAATATGTGGTACACAATTAACACAGAATTTATTGGGATGTCCTAAAACTTAGACTCATGACACTTTCATGAAACTGGGCCCTGACGTGTGGTACACAATTAACACGGAACTTATTGGGATGTCTTAAAAATTAAGACTTATGACACTTTTGTGAAACCGGGCCCTGGCCTGACAACAGTTGTTACCTGGTTCCTGCCCCAGTATGGATGCCTCATGATGTTGATGACAGGGCTGAAGCAATTCAATCCTTGATGGTTGTTAAAGTCTCCTTTCTGCAGGTAGTAGTTGTACTTGGCCCTCACCTCATAGCCTGTTGCATTGGCAACCTCAAATAAGAGGTCTCGACTGAAGATGGGAAGGAGAAGGTGGTTTATCCCTTTGCATCAGAAATCTACTATATATTCACATAATTAAAATAATCTGGATTAAGATAGCATTTAATACGAAATACCATCTCTAAATGCTTTACAGATATTATTACCTCTAGCCTTACCCCGATCATCGGATTCATTCACCTACAATGTGCACTCCACATGGTCTCCAATATGGTCACTGTGAGGTCATGCAATTACTAACACAAAGGATTTCGTCATCCTACCACCTCCCCCATTTCTCTCCCGAGTATGGAGGGGCAAACGTAGGTTAATGCTTTGCCAAGAGTCATTAGTGACGTGTCGGCACTAACATCTGAACCTCTAGAGATGGTTAAAGATCAATGACAGGTGAATACAGGTGAATACAGGTGATTCTGGAGAGTAATGTACATTTATGTACATTTATGAGGATAGATATACCACAAATACAAGCTTGATGGAGGAATAGGATTATGTGAAATACATTCTCTGAAGATGAATAAATAAAGAAAACATTTAGGCTAGCAACTTGAAATAAGATTGAATCCCATTAATAATCCAAATGTGATACACTTGAGTAATATTACATTACTTTGGACATTCACCATGTTGGTAAATCATTGCCAAGATAATGCAAAAGCAAATTATACTAGTTGTGATCAATCAAACACAATTGGCAACTCTGTGACGTATCTTGCGAGCTCCCTCCCAATTACTCTGTAGTCTGTACACAAAATTTCATTAATTTTAATTTTCTTTGTAACTGATGCTGGAATAGAATTTTTCCATACAGGGGTCGATTGTATAAAGAATATATTTGCAGTAATTATATTTAAAGTGCACGTATGATTGAAAATTGTCTTTTTGTAGTACACAGCAAATGGGAGGGGAGCATGATATACGTCACATTCTTATTTTCAATCAGAATTTGCTCAAACTGTCACAAACCTGTTTCTCTCATTTTCTGCTTCCATTGATAAATCAACTAGTCTACGTATCAGGGGGGACTTTAATTCTCCTCAAAGTTTAATGCAAAAGGATCAATTATTTGTTGTTGTTGTTTGTTTTGTTCATCATTAACGAACCTGAAAGCAGCTGATAGGCCGAGCGCTTGTGGAAACGCAGTTGCATTCCCAGCTTGTGCATCTCCGCGCAAGCACTCCGTGTTCCATACGTACTTGCCGATTTGCAAGCGACCAATCGCGGGAGCTGGGCCGTTTGGGTCCGCCCCACCTCTCGCTAGCTGATAGGTCATATCGTCCACTTTCAAACGACTTAGTAAATCGTCTAGACGCTGGTCCCATGGCAAGGACTGATTCCAGAAGGGAAGTTGGCTCTTTTGTGCGAACTCATCATCACCGACACTTTCTCCTGTGATACAGAGAGTACAGAATATTGCCAATAACATGCGAATCATTTTCACAACTTTTCTGCTGATACTGATACTGATAGTGATACGCCTCCCTAGTAAAAGATTGGGTCATGTGCATGATATGATCAGGTGACTAACAAAATATCACGTGACATATCCAGGGACGTAACGTGCTCATGAAAATTACTCAACGCACATTTTTATCGGGGTGTGGCCGTTGGGAAGCCATATCGGTACATTGTTTTCTAATGTTATTTTAGGAATTAAACCCTGGCAATATCGTGAAATAGGCCCCGCAACTTACCCGTCTTGTGATCGATTACAAATCGTCTTAGACTTCAGGCTTCAGCCAACGTTTCATGACGGACAGGAATAAAAGGGAGATAAAAGTGAGTTAAAACAGGGTTGAAAAGGACTTATTTAAAAAATAAAAATAAAATTAGGAGGGGGGGGTAAGGCACGTAGCCACGTATTTAGGGGGGTCTCCAAGGCAGGAAAAGCCCGCGAAAAGCCCGCGAAAGGGGGGGGGGTTCGGAAATGTTGGCAGTCCTCAGATAGGGATGCTTTCAAAAAGAGGGAACGAGCATATACGCGTCCCCTAAATAACACTGAGTGGGGGGCCGGGGTCACTGCATGTGGGTGATCAGAGGCGGTGCTCCCAGGGGGCAATTTCACACAACAAAAGTGCCCCCTTTTACTTTGACAGTATACTCCGGGAAGCTCCGACGCCGATGCCGGCATCGGGGTCGATCGAAGCGGGTCGAAGCTTCCCGGAGTTACTTTGACAGGTGCTCATTCACCTGTAAAAGAAGTGCCCCTTCCCCTTATAATAATTGCCTAAGTTTTGTTTTGACACGTGCCCCTTTTTTCCTTTTTAATAAATACCCCTATTCCTTGTTATAAGTGCCCCAATTCTTTTTTCATATGAGCCCCCTCATCTTCTCATAAACCCCTTTTCACCTCTGATAAATGCCCCTATCAAAATCTGATAAGTGCCCCTTTTCCTTTGCAATAACTGTCCTTTTTCTATTCGCAATTACCCTTTTTCATCTCTGCCTGTGGTAAGTGTCCCTTTCAACCTCTGACATGAGCTCTTTTTCATATTTTGATGAGAGCCCCTTTGGGCCTATGATATATTTTGACACGTGCCCCTTTTCATTTATAATAAGTGCCCTTTTTGCCTCCTGATAAATGCTCCTTTTCACCCCTGATAAATGCCCCTATCAAAATCTGACCTGCAAATGGGACAAGGTACCTTTAACAAAAATGATTGTTGACATGTGCGGTGGGTGAACAGCTCGTTTAAGCGAAAGTATCGCAAGTGCAAAGGTTAAACATACTACTTCCCGTTATGAAGTGGGAATTCCCACTCGATTACAAAAAATCATACTCGTACAATTACAACTGCATTGCTGCATAAATACATTATCATAATTATGCCTGTACTGAAAGCATCGTCGCAGTTAGAGCTATACTGCGTAGGCTACTTCTTTAACGTAAGTTCTAAAGAATTAGAAGTGTAAATTAAGTAATTTCATAATTTTGTACCGGGGAGCTAGGCCATATTTACCATGTAATGCATTGTGTTTCATTTCTTTTTCAGTGCAGTACTAGCAAGATCAGTATTTACAAAATATATGACAATTTTGATTGAGTTGGCTATTTATTTCACCGAGGTGTCTATTTTTCCCAGGTCGTGTGCTTAAGTTGTCAACGATGGCTACTTCCTTCAAGCAGGCTGTCAACAAGAACCTCGAGTGTCCTATCTGTCTGAGCTTCTTCAAGGACCCCAAGAACCTGACCTGCTCTCATACCTTCTGCAAGGGTTGTCTTGAGACTCTCCTGGAGACTCGTGGAAAGCTATTGTGTCCTACGTGCAGGGAGGAGACGTTGGTTCCTGGTGGAGATGTGGGTAGACTGCAGCCAAACATAACAGTCAGATCACTTGTTGAAGATGTGGAGACCCAGTGCTATTCTAACGGTAATCAAGAAGACAAATCATTGCAAAGAAATGGGAACAAATGTCAAAAACATCCGAAAAACGATGAAGATTTTTTTTGTCGCAACTGTAACAAGTATGTCTGCAGCATGTGTGGCTTATTAGAGCATGCAATTAAAGATGCTCACACCATCCTGGAAGCAGGCGCACATGATCCTGATCAAAAGAATCACGTCGAGGAACTTGCAGCTAAAGCGGATGCAAAAATATACGACGTTGACAAGTTTGTTACATCAGTTGTAAACCAGCGTAAAACGGTGCATAACGTACAGGAACAACTTAACGATGAAATAGATGCGACTTTTGCAAAATCAGTTCAGGTATTGAAGGAAAGAAAGACGGTGTTGAAAAATGAAGTTAAGCACGGCCTGCTAGGGAAACTTGAGACTTCATTGGGAGACATGGAGGAGTCTGGTCGTAAGCAGATAGACCAAATTAAGAAAGTTCTGGACTTGGTTAGGAGTGGTCTTAATTTTCCTCTCCTGACAGAGGCTCTGACCTCACATAAAGCGAATTGTCAACAGCTGGAAGATCTTCTAAGCCGGATTGGCCTAAATGAGGAGCTGCCCAGGAGAATTGCTAAGGAAGGTGAAGTTTGCTTCAGGAGTCAGGGATCGGATGGACTCCAGTTGGGCCAGCTAAGTCATCTTGAGTCCAAATGGGTTCTGCGCACGGAATGTCAGCTGCCTGTTAACAATAATATGAGCGGGATGGTAATATCACCAAACAATGAGATGGCTGTTGGTTGCCAGAAGGGAGGAATATTCATATATTCCGTTGAGGGCATCATACAAGATACCGTTCTGAAATCTGTTCAAATTGTGGCATTAGACTTCATGCCTGATGGTGGATATGTCATACGCGACAGTAATAACAGAATTTCCATGTACACAGAGCATTGTGAAAAGCTTGATGTGACGTTGGAGACAATGGTTGATTCGGGAAATGTGTCTTCCGGTCTCACTGTAGGCAACGATGGACTGATCTTCATAGGTTACAGTGCATGGAGGAAAATACAGGTATTTAAGCCAGAAGGTGGGAAGGCAATTAGAGAGATTAAGTGTAACGGTTATGAACCAAGGCAGATTGTTGCGATGACATCCAGTCAAGCGATTCTCGTTAAGAGTTATTGGAATATGGTACAAGTGATCAATGATGTGTCTGGTGCTATCATCCATAGCATCAGCAAGGATGGTGAAAACGCTTACCCTGCTGTGTATCAGGATAATTCAGTTATCATTGCATGGGTTAGGCACGGCCAGAGTCTGCTGAGCATTGTTCAGTACACAAAAGAGCTCAAATACATCAAAAACATTCTCACTGATTTCAAGATAATCAGACCAATTCGAGCTTGGTACTATTTACAAGCATTCAAGAAGGGAGAGATTGCTTTCTGCACTTCCCATAGGTTTTACATCTTCCATGAGACATGGGAGTAAATTTCAGTTTTGAATTCGAAACTTGGAATTTAACAAACAATACAAAAACTAAACATTTAAGATTGTTATTAGGTCAATTAGTGGAAAGGAATGCCCCATATATAAACATTATCTACTCTTGCCTGGTCCACGTTGTCACAGCTCATACGCATCACAAACATACACCAGATAAAATATATATTCAGGCACCTCGTTGTCTGAATAAGAGGATATTTAGGAACCTCGCTGCTCGCTGTTTTCACAAAGTGACGGTAGTGAAAAAAATTGCATTCACTTTGCGTGACGATTTTCCTCACTACCGTCACTTCGTGAAAACAGGGACGAATTATTCGGATATATTATGAGGCACCTCTATGCCCGGATAGTTATGAGATGATTCTTCACCTAATGTCGGAACTTTTTAAAATCTCCCCCCCCCCCCCCGTAAAATAAGATAAATTCTCTAAATGTTTATGGTACTGGAAACGTAAGCAAATTATTTTTCTCAAAATATTACGATGTATCTGAAAATGTTTTCTTTAAAATATGCAAGGTATTATAGATATCCAATTTTTCCAGGTTTGTTTACTTAATTTATGGTTTGGTAATGGTTGTGAAGGCATAATTCTATTTAGATTTCTTTGATCATTGTTTGACTTAAGGACATTGTTATAATTAAGGACAATATTTTTTTTTTATATACCCAAGGTTGTTTTATTGGAAATATGCGTAAATGTTTTAATTGTGTACAATCCCTAATTCCTGTACCTTCATCTACCTCTCTTTGCATCTATACTTCATTTATTAATTTAAATCAGTCCAAAGACTGCTAAATTCATATTTACATACATGTAATTGCCTCGTACAAATTATAAAAAAGAATATAATACATTCACCAAAATTGACAAGGAACAAAAATTGAAATGAAAAAGAATTGTTTTACATTTTGCCCCTCAAATTGATAATCGAAATAAACAAGTATTTCCGATATAAAGACAGAAAACGAGAAATGAAAAGGAACAAGCTGGAGAAGACGACAGCGAGAAGATAGAGGAAGAGAAGGGATCTAGTTAGTAAAGGTAAACATTAAAGAGTGCTATTTCGTTTGCTGACGGTTCACATTTGAATCCTAATACAAGAGACTAAAGGATTAGCTCTGAATTATTGGGTATATGTATATAAATAGTAATCAAAATAATTGGAACAAAAATCCTTGAGAGTTCTCTTCTTCCTAATCAAGAATTAAGAAGAATAAGAAGAATTAATTGTTTAATTAAGAAGAGAACTCTCAAGGACTTGTATTTCAATTGTTTTAATTATTGTTTGTGTATTGCCGTGATGGAGGATTATCAATATTAAATAATTAGTTCTATACATATATATATATATGTATCCATATATATATAGTTACGAATTCAGATATTAAATACCTGGACTTTGCCAGTTGAAAGGTACACAAGGTGAACATGACAGTGAAATAGATACCAATGATTAAGTTTGAAACTATAGATCATGTCTTACATCGTTACAATATACTTGAAGCAAGACCCCCCCCCCCCTCCACTCCCCGCTGTATAAGGGGGGGGGGGAGAATGCTATTAGTTTATAGCCCAATGATGTTAACAAACACACCTTTGTTGTGAATTCCATCTTTAATTCATATTGAAATTACTTATTCAAGGATTAATAATGCTAATGTTTCAATGATTTGCCCTCTGTTCTCTGAAGTTGTTCGATTAATAATTTGATGTAGTTAAACAAAACATTTGAGTTATTGTCGCATATATGAATACAGTGTAAGAGATCTAATGTATTTATACTTTATTCGGAAAGGAAATCAATGTATTACGTCATTCAATATCTGCTTCTTGTTGTAGTTTATCTCGTTATTCTATTATGCATTCAAGTTATTAATTCCCCCTTCTTCACTAGGTTTATGATTCTTTTATAGTAAATTAATTAACTTCCTTTATTATCTTTGTAAAGCGCATAGAGACATCCCTGTATGATGCGATATTAAAGCATAACTAATATTATTATTATTATTATTATTATTATTATTATTATTATTATTCTGTTGAAGTACAGTCCACCATTTTGTTGGTGTATCTTCGTAATTTGACGTTGTGCAGATATATATGTACAGTGCTGTGGAAGATCTAATATATGTGCGGTTAAAAAGAACAGGCGCAATCCTAGCGCAACTGTGTTTTCTGCACCTCAGTCTTATTAAGATGGATTTCAAATTATGTCAGTTATCATGTTCAATTCAAATTATGTTACATATTTCATGTTCAATTCAATTATAGAATAAATAAACTTAAAGTGTGAATCAGGTTTATAATACTGACATTTCCAGAAAGTACATCGTAGTTCTTTGTCCAGTGTCATTGGTGTGAGTATTCTCAAAAGAAGTGTTGATTTTTAGAGAATCCATGCAGGAGGTATAACTGGAAGCTCCTGTAGATGATGCTTGTATAATAATGTCCTCGGTTAAAACTGGATTCAGGGTTTAATTACGGTCAGATGAGCATATTTTGATACCTTATTTGTGACACTGGCAGGACACTAATTGGCTGGGGTCCAGGGGCGGAGCCCCCAGAAGCTCTGGGGTTTTAGGCTTTAAATTACTGTCAGATGAGCATCTAGGGGCCCGCCATAGGGCCATTGGTTGAGTCCAGGGGGCAGGGGGGGGCAGTTGCCCCCCCCCCAGTCAAAAAGTGGGGGGGGGGCAAAATGCATTTTTGCCCCCCCCCAAAAAAAAAAAAAAAAAAAAAAAACGCCCCCCCCCCCCCTCCCCCCCCCCCCCCAAAAAAAAAAAAACAGTAAAGGAGTAAACATGGTTCGTATTTTTAATCCAAAAGAACGTAACAATAAACACCTGAATTAAATCACATATACAATTCCATTCAAAGAAAAAGGAAAGTTTACAGGAATTAAATTTCATAAACATTGCGCATGCCACCTATACGGTATTTTAAATGGAGGTCTCTATAATAGCGATACGCGCATATCGTGGACATATTGTGCGAGAATGGGAAAGCGTGTCCGATTTTGTTGTTGTAGGGGTTAGAAGACATGAGCCACTGAACGTTGGCGTACTGATGGGGAGGGGGGGGGGGGGTAATGTATTTTTTATTCGAAACAAGTGATTTAGAAAGTTTGATGTTGTGATATGATTTTCCGGCATTTTTTCTCCATTTTTTTTGTAAGTCATACCTTTTTATGCGTTTGTTGGAAAATAAGAAATTCCCACATTACAGTCAGGCGAAATACGCTTATTTAGAAGCCTTTATGTCATGGTCTGCAAAGTGGCTATACGCATATACGCGTACCCTACCGGGGTCACTGCATGTGAGTGATCAGAGGCGGCGCTCCCAGGGGGCAATTTCAGACACAACAAAAGTGCCCCCTTTTACTTTGACAGTATAACTCCGGGAAGCTCCGACGCCGATGACGGCATCGGGGTCGATCGAAGCGGGTCGAAGCTTCCCGGAGTTACTTTGACAGGTGCTCATTCACCTGTAAAAGAAGTGCCCCTTCACCTTATAATAATTGCCCAAGTTTTGTTTTGACACGTGCCCCTTTTTTCCTTTTTAATAAATACCCCATTCCTTGTGATAAGTGCCCAAATTTTTTTTTCATATGAGCCCCCTCATCTTCTCATAAATGCCCCTTTTCACCTCTGATAAATGCCCCTATCAAAATCTGATAAGTGCCCCTTTTCCTTTGCAATAACTGTCCATTTTATATTCGCAATTGCCCTTTTTCATCTCTGCCTGTGGTAAGTGTCCCTTTCAACCTCTGACATGAGCTTTTTTTCATATTTTGATGAGAGCCCCTTTGGGCCTATGATATATTTTGACACGTGCCCCTTTTCATTTATAATAAGTGCCCTTTTTGCCTCCTGATAAATGCTCCTTTTCACCCCTGATAAATGCCCCTATCAAAATCTGACCTGCAAATGGGACAAGGTACCTTTAACAAAAATGATTGTTGGGAAGCGGGGGTGCTGGGGGTGCTGCAGCACCCCCGAAATTTTTCCAGGGGGGGCACAGCACCCCCTGCAATTTTTTTTGGTATGATATATCGTCGCTGTTTTCACGAAGTGACGGTAGTGAAATATAATTGCATTCACTTTGCGTTACGATTTTCCTCACTACCGTCACTTCGTGAAAACAAGGACGATATTTACTGTATATCATTATATGACTCGTTGACAAAATTATCACAAAGCCGACAGCCACAAATGAAGATTAGAAAGTACAAAATTATAACGTTTCTTTCACAAAATCATATAAAATTAGCCCTCGAAGCTTTTTTTTTTTTGTTCTTTTTTTTATATTTGGAGACAAAAAAAAAAAATGTCCCCCCCCCCCCCCCGCTTATTCAACGGCTGGCTGAGTCGTTGCGAAAATTTCGCAATATATATATCTCAGCGGCCCCGGTGAAAAAATCGTTCCCAGGCCCCTGTTGACATGTCCGGTGGGTGAACAGCTCAGTTAAACGGAAGTATCGCAAGTGTTAAACATACTACTTCCCGTTATGAAGTGGGAATTCCCACTCGATTACAAAAAATCATACTCGTACAATTACAACTGCATTGCTGCATAAATACATTATCATACGCCTGTACTGAAAGCATCGTCGCAGTTAGAGCTATACTGCGTAGGCTACTTATTAAACGTAAGTTCTAAAGAATTAGAAGTGTAAAGTAATTTCATAAATTTGTACCAGGTAGCTAGGCCATATTTACCGTGTAATGCATTGCGTTTCAAAAAAAATTCAGTGCAGTAGGCCTACTAGCAAGATCAGTATTTTACAAAGTATATGAAACTTTTCATTGAGTTGGCTATTTATTTCACCGATGTGTCTATTTTTCCCAGGTCGTGTGCTTAACTTGTCAACGATGGCTACTTCCTTCAAGCAGGCTGTCAACAAGAACCTCGAGTGTCCTGTCTGTTTGAGCTTCTTCAAGGACCCCAAGATCCTGACCTGCTCCCATACCTTCTGCAAGGGTTGTCTTGAGTCTCTCCTGGAGTCCCATGGGGTCATAAACGTTCTGCTGTGTCCTACGTGCAGG